CACCACAACTAGAGCTTTGTCAACGTCCATCGTGTACAGTCGCCTCCCGTAGAGTGAAAATGGCACCAACCAGCTTAGGTCGGGCCGATAACCGATTTAAGTGTGAACAGAGGCGCCGACAACTGATTAAAATCCGGCCCCGACACCCGATAAGTGGGAACGAACTCTTAGTTCGTAAAATCTGTTGTTATACAGTGTGTCCGGGCATGTAGTGATCAAACTTTAAGGGCGTAATCTATGGACAATTTTATCGATGAAAATACTTCAAATTTGGGGCCTGACCCATTTCTCGAAAAATTATATCGATTTAAGTTTTTAATTTTTAGTTTACACCTCTTCTTTAAAAAGCAAGTGAAAGCGTGGGTAGCTTAACATTAATAGGCAAATATTTTATATCATGCGATAGCCAATAAAATTATCTATTAGTAGAAGAAGAAAGCAGACACAAGTTTCATACATTTTATGGGAGTAAGAATGGATTTAATTAGAAAAATACATTACTTTTTTCACTTCTTTTTCAGTTATTTTCCAACACAAGAAAAACCAGGTCGTTAAGGTATGTTTTATTTGCATTGTATTTTTAGTATTTGAGCTATTCTACAAAACGAATGTAAATTTATTAGTCTACGTCTATTAGTTTCGACGTAATTGTTGAACAAAGATACCCCTTCCCAGCGGTTTCCATAGTAATCGGAATAGGTTGTGTGATTCTTTCAGGCAGTGCATTTTCGCATGTCGCGTGCGCTACATTCATTTTGTAGAATAGCTCAAATACTAATAATACAATGCAAATAAAACATACCTTAACGACCTGGTTTTTCTTGTGTTGGAAAATAACTGAAAAAGAAGTGAAAAAAGTAATGTATTTTTCTAATTAAATCCATTCTTACTCCCATAAAATGTATGAAACTTGTGTCTGCTTTCTTCTTCTACTAATAGATAATTTTATTGGCTATCGCATGATATAAAATATTTGCCTATTAATGTTAAGCTACCCACGCTTTCACTTGTTTTTTAAAGAAGAGGTGTAAACTAAAAATTAAAAACTTAAATCGATGTAATTTTTCGAGAAATGGGTCAGGCCCCAAATTTGAAGTATTTTCATCGATAAAATTGTACATAGATTACGCCCTTAAAGTTTGATCACTACATGCCCGGACACACTGTATATTATCATGTTGATAGATGGCGTTTCACGTCTTCCCCCGCATGAATATTTACGAACGTCAAAAACAGTAGTTTGTCCAGCGCTGTAGATTTTAACCAATGACGATAGATGGCGCTTTTTAGACACGTCTTATTTATTTATTGTTTACTAGCTGACCCCGCGAACTCTGTTCCGCCTTAAAGGCAATAAATAAGCCATCGCAATTTTTCCTTATTTGCTCACCGTTTAGACCTACCCTGGACTACGACAAACATTTTAAAACCAAAATCAGCTCAATCGGCCCAGCCGATCTCGAGTTTTAATCAGACTAACGAACAACAATTCATTTTTATTTATATAGATTTGTCACATATCGTCATACGTTATGGCCTATATGTTAATCTGGGTTATAAACAATAATACTGTAAAGTTTCAACAAAATCCGTTCAGTAGTTTTTGCGTGAAAGAGTAACAAACATCCAGACATCCACACAAACTTTCGCCTCCAACTAGATGGACCGACGATCTGGTGGAGGTCGCGGGAGGTGCCTGAATGCGGGTGGCGCAGGACCGGTCTTTGTTGGAAACCTTTGGGGATGCCTTTGTCTTGCAGTGGACGACTTTCGGCTGAAACGAACGAAGGAAATAACCATGTAAAGAACAATGGGACAAATCGTCCCAAGAACTGTAGCACTTTAATACCTACCTTATATGATAGGATAGACCATGCTAATACTATAATTTTATTATATAACAGCTCAAGTGTGACATGTCTCAGAAAAAAGTTATATCAAAAATAAAAATTAAAAATCAACCCTGAAAAAATACATACTAAATCTCTTTCGTCAAACTTTAAAGGGTATCGCGACAACTTGACCCCGGGACAATTCGACCCCTGTGACAACTCAACCCCTGCGACAACTTGATTTTTTTCAACACTCAACACTTTTGACTTACTTCAAATGGTTTCACGACTGCTTAACGCTATGACCCCAGAGAGGTTTGGTTGCCACAAATAAAAAAAAAAAAAAAAAAAAAACGCTATGACAACTCGAATCCTGCGTCAACTCGATTCAATTACTTTTGATCTACTTCACACGGTATCACGACTGCTCGAGCGTTAAGAAAACTCGACCCGGACAACTCGACTCCTGCGACATGTCAATCTCTATTACAACTCGACCGCTGTGACAAGTCGACAACTACGACACGTCAACCCCTGCGACAACTCTGAGCATTTATTGTAGATTCAGTTCTGGCATTGATTGATGGAGCTAAATGGTTTGTAATAAGTATAACAGTTTAATATTTTGGAGTCAAATTGTTACAGTAGTAGACTTGTTTTGGGGTCGAGTTGTCCGGGTCAAGTTTTCGTAGTGGCGAGCAACGTTTGAAGTAGGTTTAAATTAATTTAATCGAGTCAAGGGTCGCAGGGGTCAAGTTGTCACAGGGGTCCAGTTGTCATGGGGGTCGAACTGTTGTAGAGTCCAGCAGTCGTGAAACCATTTGAAGTAAGTCAAAAGTGTTGAGCGTTGAAAAAAATCGAGTTGTCGCAGGAGTCGATTTGTCCCGGGGTCGAGCTGTCGTGAAACCATTTTAAATTGGTCAAAATTGATTTAATGTGTATATTTTGAGGGTTGATAATTTTTTGACATAACTTTTTTCTGAGACATATCAGACATGAGCTGTCATATAATAAAATTATAGTATTAGCATGTACTATCATTAAGGAAGGTATTAAAGTTCTACAGTTCTGGGGACGGACTTCATACAAAATGTTCCATTGTTCTTTATAAATTACTAGCTTTCCGCCTACCTACCAACCTATGAATAATGTGGCTTTCTATTGGTGAAAGAGTTTTTAAAATCGTTTCAGTAGATCCCGAGATTACCCCTTACAATTTAACAAATTTATATACAAACACACAAACTTTACCTCTTTATAATATTAGTATAGATAAATTTTACTTAATTAACTAGCGGCCGTCCGCGACTTCGTACGCGTGGATCCCGTTTTAACCCTTAGGCCTTAGGTTTTATTGCCTACGTCATAACATGTATTTGCATGCCAAATTTCAGCCCGATCCGTCCAGTTATTTGGGCTGTGCGTTGATAGATTACTATGTCAGTCAGTCAGTCAGCCAGTCACCTTTGAGTTATATTACTCTTCAAAAAAGGAGGAGGTTCTCAATTCGACCCGTATGTTTTTTTTTCTATGTTTGTTACGCGATAACTCCGCCAATTATGAACCGATTTGAACAAATCTTTTTTCGGCGTATAGGTAATACCTCAAGGGTGGTCCCATTTAAATTTAATAATAGAAAAAACAACCCCCAAGGGTGGTAAATTGGGGATGAACTTTTTTATACGCAATATTTTTAATTTTTAGTTTTTTTTGTGTTCACGCATTTGAAGTCGGTTTTATTTTTTTTAAAAGTTAATTATCTTCCATCATACACAAGATTACGCGTGCGTGAGTCAATGTTCGCTCGTATGTGAGGCCTTGTCGAATAGTATCCTGTAGGTGGGCCATCGTGTGTGTTTTGTTTTCGATGTAAACTCGCGGAGATGAACAGGCCTGGCCAGGGTCACTCAAGATTCTCCCTTAGGGGTGGTAAGCATTGTGTTTGAAACTTCAACAGGTGGCCTGACGTTACGGCACCGCCTATGTTTAAGTTCCACGCGAAAATATGGAGGTAATTTAAATAGTTAATTTCTCAGTCATTTCTTGATGGATTTCAAAAATAGCTTCACCAGCTTTTTAGTTTTGGTCTATATTTTAATCCCATTTAGTGAAATCTAATGTTTTCAACATTACGAAACTTCTCCATTATAACCATTAAGGATACCTAGAAGCCCAAACATCATGAAGCTTGCTCAAACGGTTATAAAGATAATGAAGGTCAAAGAGTCGTTAATTTTGGTATTAACTGACTGACTTTAGTTCCTAATTCTAACCTACTTCCCGATGACCTAGAAGGATAACATTTGGGATCCAGCTTGGTAATTGTGTGTAAGCGTAGCGTATCTAAAAATAAAAAAAAAAGTAAAAATAGGGCCGTCCCCATACAATGTTTTTTAAATTGTAGCTTTGGAACCGTCACAAGCAGATATTTGAGACTATCCTAATATAAGTAATATGAATTATAAAATTTGCTTTATAACAGAAATATAAAAATAAAGTTAAGTCAAAAAATAACTGGTGTCCCCATACAAAAAACTTGTAATACGCGCTAAACATCACATTTTTAAATAACAGCAATACTTATCCAATTAGCAAAGAAATATAGTTTAATACTTGTTTATAATGTTATTTTGTTCATATAAATACATATTATTATTTGAATTTTCCACAGAACTTAACACTCATTTAGATCTCCATTCTTTTTGCGGCTAAGCCTACAGCCAAGCATATTTTTTGTATTGAACTTTGCTCTCCTTTTTTACATTAAGTTTTTGGTGGTATAAAGTAATATATTACTATAATAGGTAGGTAGGTAGGTGAAATGAGTTGCAGAAAGCACATGCCTTCTGCAACAAATTTTTGTTTTAGCCTTTAATACAACATAATAAAGAATTATACTACATTTTTGAAGTATTGGAAGCGAACCTAGTTCACATAATTATTATTTTATAACGGCTATATTTAAACTCCGATGAATTTATAAAATATAAAAATTCACGGCTTTTAGCTTGTACTGATTTTAAAGTTAAAAGCCTGCAGTGAATTTTAATATTTTATACATATTATTGCACAAATGATATACTTAATAAAAAAAAAACAAGAAAAAAATATAATTTAACCCTTCTATACATAATTATGTTTTGTTTAATTTCAGAATCTCAAAAAAGAATGACGAACAAAACTTACTCTGAAAAATCCGATATAAGATCTTCAACATCCGAGAAAGGAGACATAACAACTAGTAGAGCACTATACCAATCTACTGAAGAAACAAACATCCTTAAGTTACAAAATTTACAAGAAATGGAATCCAAAAGGGTGTCAAGTAATGTCCCTTGGCGTAAAAAAGATCAAGTCGAAGAAGTTCAATCGAGTAATGATGAAAAATTAGAAGTAAAGCACTGGAGAAAACAGCGCCAAGAAGATACTAAATCGATTCAACAAATATCAACATCTGAAGATACAAATATTTTATTATTAGACAGACAAGAAACAACTGACACCGAAGTCAAATCAATAAGAAAAGAAGATCTGCAGCCAAAACACTGGAGACAGCCTCGTGCGGAAAAGAAGCCAGAGCTGGTTGAAAAAACAGTGCATACCGAGGATTCACAAATCCTTCAAAAACAAGAAGAAGAGGTTATAGATCAAACGGTTAAAAAAGAAATTCTCGAAACAAAAGTTTGGCGAAAGCCTCGAAAAGATGACAAACCAAATTTTTTGGATAAAACTTCACATGTGGAAGATTCTACAGACGTACATATAAAAGACACTATGCAAGAAACACAAGTGAAGTTAGAGGCCAAAAGCTGGCGGAAGCCACGCCCAGAAACTTCAGAAAACGTCTCTATAACATCTGAAATGAAGGAGGAAACTAAACACTGGAGAAAGCCTAGAGTGCAAGATTCAAATAAAAACGTAATTCAAGATATTAAATCAGAAATAATTGAACAAGTTGAGGAAGAAGCTACTACTAAACAAAATTGGCGAAAACCTCGAACGGAGGATAAACGCCCTGTGCAAGAGCGAAGAGAAAGTATTCCATGGACAGAAGAAAGTATTCGTCTGAGGCCTACGAAGGTGGAAAAGAAGGAAATTGTAAAAGAAAAATTTGAAGACGTGAATTTGAAACCGGTTCGCAAAGATTCTGTCCAGAAAAGTACACTTGTAGTTGACGAGTCATTAACGTATGAAGAAGACACCATTGTACTAAAAATATCGGAAGATGAAAACGTCACAGAAGCGCACGTACCAATAGAGCCCAGTGATGATAAAACGCCATCTTGGCGAAAATCAATCAAGAAAAAGCAGGTAGTAAAGGATGATGTGAATAGAGACATAGAAGAAATGACACAGAGGGAACCTGTAGACGGATCAATGATCCAACAAGACGTAAAATCCAAACAGCTCGAAGAGCTTCCTCAAGAAGCACCCAAATGGTTAACAAAGGGCAGACAGCCGAAACAAGATGAACTCAAAGAGGAAGTGGTACTCAAGCCGGTGCCAAGACAAAGAGAGCTAGATGAGAAGAAGCCTGAGGAGGTGCAGCTGAAACCAGTTAAGAAACAGAAACCAGTCGAGGAGACCACTCCTGAGGAAGTCAAATGGCCTACAGGCAAGAGGCGTCCCAAGGAAGAAGAACCAAAGGAAGAGGTGGTCCTTAAGCCAGTGCCAAAACAGAAAGAGCCTGAGGAGCAGAAGCCTGAGGAGGTCCAGCTGAAACCAGTTAAGAAACAGAAACCAGTCGAGGAGACCACTCCTGAGGAAGTCAAATGGCCTACAGGCAAGAGGCGTCCTAAGGAAGAAGAACCAAAGGAAGAGGTGGTCCTCAAGCCAGTGCCAAAACAGAAAGAGCCTGAAGAACAGAAGCCTGAGGAAGTCCAGCTGAAACCAGTTAAGAAACAGAAACCAGTCGAGGAGACCACTCATGGGGAAGTCAAATGGCCTACAGGCAAGAGGCGTCCCAAGGAAGAAGAACCAAAGGAAGAGGTGGTCCTCAAGCCAGTGCCAAAACAGAAAGAGCCTGAGGAACAGAAGCCTGAGGAGGTCCAGCTGAAACCAGTTAAGAAACAGAAACCAGTCGAGGAGACCACTCCTGAGGAAGTCAAATGGCCTACAGGCAAGAGGCGTCCCAAGGAAGAAGAACCAAAGGAAGAGGTGGTCCTCAAGCCAGTGCCAAAACAGAAAGAGCCTGAGGAGCAGAAGCCTGAGGAGGTCCAGCTGAAACCAGTTAAGAAACAGAAACCAGTCGAGGAGACCACTCCTGAGGAAGTCAAATGGCCTACAGGCAAGAGGCGTCCCAAGGAAGAAGAACCAAAGGAAGAGGTGGTCCTTAAGCCAGTGCCAAAACAGAAAGAGCCTGAGGAGCAGAAGCCTGAGGAGGTCCAGCTGAAACCAGTTAAGAAACAGAAACCAGTCGAGGAGACCACTCCTGAGGAAGTCAAATGGCCTACAGGCAAGAGGCGTCCCAAGGAAGAAGAACCAAAGGAAGAGGTGGTCCTTAAGCCAGTGCCAAAACAGAAAGAGCCTGAGGAGCAGAAGCCTGAGGAGGTCCAGCTGAAACCAGTTAAGAAACAGAAACCAGTCGAGGAGACCACTCCTGAGGAAGTCAAATGGCCTACAGGCAAGAGGCGTCCCAAGGAAGAAGAACCAAAGGAAGAGGTGGTCCTTAAGCCAGTGCCAAAACAGAAAGAGCCTGAGGAGCAGAAGCCTGAGGAGGTCCAGCTGAAACCAGTTAAGAAACAGAAACCAGTCGAGGAGACCACTCCTGAGGAAGTCAAATGGCCTACAGGCAAGAGGCGTCCCAAGGAAGAAGAACCAAAGGAAGAGGTGGTCCTCAAGCCAGTGCCAAAACAGAAAGAGCCTGAGGAGCAGAAGCCTGAGGAGGTCCAGCTGAAACCAGTTAAGAAACAGAAACCAGTCGAGGAGACCACTCCTGAGGAAGTCAAATGGCCTACAGGCAAGAGGCGTCCCAAGGAAGAAGAACCAAAGGAAGAGGTGGTCCTCAAGCCAGTGCCAAAACAGAAAGAGCCTGAGGAACAGAAGCCTGAGGAGGTCCAGCTAAAACCAGTTAAGAAAGTTACCACAGTGGAAAGTGAAGAACCCACTGTAGAGGAAAAAGAAGTAACAATTGTAAGCAAAACAAAAGTAGTGAAGAAAAAGATACAAAAAGAGGAAGAACAAACAAATATAGAGGAAGTTATACCTGAGACAAAACCAATAGAAGAAAAGAAGTTGAAAAGAACGAGTAAAGACGACACCAAAGTGGAAGAAATCGTGGTTGTAGAAGAAGTGAAAAATGAACCAGCTGTTGAACAAGAAGAAGAAGTAAGAGTGGTAACCAAGCAATCGAAAGTGGTGAAGAAGAAGACACGAAAAGAGAAAAAAGGTAAGATTCACACCATTCATAATCTCAGTTAACTTAAAAATAAATAGTATAATTATTGAAATAGTATAATGATTGGAACAACAATTGTTTGTAAGCAGATGCATGGCCAACAATTCAAAATTCTAATTTTTTTAAAGTTTTACTCCAAAACGTACTTCCCGTAGCTTGGCCGTCTATCGTTTTTAGCCGTTATCGTTTTTAGCCGTTGTTACAAATTATGTATTAAATATTTATTGGAAAAATGAACACACACACACGAATAAAAAATATACTTCCGTTTTCATTCTCCATTAAAAACTAATAACAGATAAAAGTCTATTTAATTCAATTTACTTCCTCATAATTTTACCAACAACATCTTTTTGATATCAGTGTGTACTATTTCCATTTTCTTACACTTGGATGGCTACAGGTGAAAAACACCTTGCTCTACTTATATTCTTTTGGGTGTCTTCGTAATAACGTCTGTACAAACAAATAACAAGTTTCACTCTCATAATAATCTGCTAAAAGTACCTCCTTAGTGTCTAACCACATATTTCAATGTTGTAATTAGCTGTATCCGTTGTAATTACTGCTACTTACTTTGTTTTTAAATTATTCGAAAATACACTACGCATAACAAAAGGAAGTATCGATATGTTTTAAAATGATGTACATGTTTTGCAGAAGTTGGACCAATAATTATAAAACCTTTAACGGCAAAGAACGTTTTGGAAAACACAGACTTTGAACTCGTCGTTTTCTTTGAAGCGGAAGATGACTGTCAAGTAACATGGTACCGTAATAACCAACTCATAGAGCCTAGAGATGACTGCATAATTAATACAGAAAGGGGGAAATCATTTGTTAAAGTTTTAGATACAGATAAAAATAAACTTGGAAAATATGAAGTAATCATTGAATCTATGGATAAAACAATTAAATCAGCATGTTCAGTAAAATTATCAAAACCTTCAGACGAAGGGCAAGTGCAACCACCAGTGTTCATACGACCTCTCTATCCAAAAGAAATACGATTAGGCGATATACTTTTGATGGAAGCCGAGGTCATTTCTGTTCCATGTGCCTCTTTCCAATGGTTTATAAACACCAAGGAGGTTACGTCTCATGCAAAAGAAAACAAACTAAATAACATATACGTAACAACCAGAGAAAATATATCTTGTCTATGTATCGAAAACATTACAGAAGATTTGATTGGAGTTATAACGTGTAGAGCAGAAAATTTTGCAGGATCAGTGTCCTGTTCAGCTTCTTTAATTTTCATAGACAACGAACCTTGTTACGTAACAGGAAAGGGTCCTGAAATAGTAACACCCCTAAAGTCAGCCACTGTAATGGATGGAGAACCAATATATCTTACTTGTGAAGTATCTGGTGAACCTTGGCCGAAAATTGAATGGTATCATGATGACAAATTTATAAAAAAAGTTAGAGATATAACCTTTGCCCGGCAAGAATCGGGACTGTGTGGATTATGTATAAAAGAAGCCTTTCCAGAAATGTCGGGAAATTACAAATGTGTGGCGACAAACACTTTTGGAAGTAGTAGCACCGAATGTACAATAAATGTAGAAGGTAGCAGATTGGTTCCAGTTTCAATAAATATTTCATGATTGCATGAGTTGCATGTATGACACTGTAAAACACTGCACTTTATTTTCATACTTCACTAAAACATCCTAACATACACTTGCCATGCATCTGGAGGGATAAATTAACTACATAGGGTCATTAATTTAGTTTAAGAGTTATCTTCGACTGATGTAATGATTACAAGAATGAAACGGCAATTGGTTTGGGCAAACAACTCAGTTTCTCACCGTTCACTGCTTATTTATGCACAACAACATGATTATCACTGTTTAGTAGGAGTTTAATTCAGAAAAATCAAAATTTTTCATGTGACGAATGATTTTTTTTGTTTTGTTGCACTTAGATTTTATGCTTTTTAAGAATGTGTAATGGATGATAATGATAATTAAAGATAGGCTATTGTGATGGCTATGATATTTATTATTTAGGAGCTGAAGAGTAATGATTTTGGGACACTCAAAATTCATAATCATAAATCAAATTTTAACCCATCAACCAAGTATTTAGTGACAAAATTCCCTTTGACCATCTTAAAAAGTTCTATCAGTTCAACAATTCTATAACCAAATATTGATCTGAATGGATTGTATCGAAAATGTTCATACGATCATAGGATACTATAAGATAGATACAGTAAAAATAATAATGAAAATTCTTCGTACTACTTGTAATTTGTAATAGAAAGATAAATAATTCCATGTATTAATATTTGTTTTATTTTCTAGCGTACGAATACGTCCCGAGTGCTTCGGAGGAAGATATACTCAGTGACGAGGTAAAGTAATCTGGTTTTACAAAATTAAGATCTTTACAAAATTGATAATGACATTATAGGGAAACAAGAAACGTGACTTAGGCGTTAATAGCAGTGCATCTTAAAATACCGGCCAAGTGCGAGTCGGAATCGCGCAACGAAGGTACCTACAAAAATTGACGGTTTTCGCAATTTTTCTTTTATTTGTGCTATAAGACGTTGCTTCGTACCCAAATTTCACGGGAGTTCACGGGAAGGACCCTGTAGGTTTTGATTCCCTTGCGAGTGTCGAAAATACCGAATAAACGGATTGCGTTGGCTTAGATGTTTGATTTTTTCACAGCTCCAAGGGACAGCAGACTTGGGTAAATTTTAGCTTGATACCTCCTCGAGTTTCTGAGAAAAGGGGTCTTGACAGACGGACGGACAACAAAATGATCCTATAAGGGTTCCGTTTTTTCCTTTTGAGGTACGGAACCCTAAAAATGTTGCAAAGACGGGAAATATTATTCAAACTATTTTCCTGCGTACGAAGTTGCGGGCACAGATAGTTAAACATGTACGGAACCCTCGGTGGGCGAGTACGACTCGCACTTGTACGGTTTTTTCATTCTTATCGATTTTGACATCTCACTCGTAGAGTACTTTCAGCAATGCAAGGAATTAATAAATACGCAATAAATGATTTATTGATTTGATTTGATATTTTGTTCTCTAAGAATATTAAATGTTGTGTTCATTAAAAAACTTATAAAACTCATTTATTTTTGTAAGTAGTCTTTTATAACTCACTATTACACGTCCCAGTATAAACCCTACCACTGCTTCGAGACAATAAATAATAAATTGGCCGGTGCTGAGAAGAAGCAGCTCAAGAAACTCAGACACTATAGGTTAAAAGGCAGTTATGTACCTGTAGTTTATGATAATTATGTAAAATAATAATGATGCTCAAAAAGTAGAGTTATCATCATGCCTTTTTAGTAATGATATATTTATTTTAAAATAGTCGATTATTTTTTTCAGAGAACTAGTGATATAGAGGAATTTGCACCTCGTATAGTAAAAGCACTACCAACGGTTGTAGCGCCCAGCGAAGGCGAATTAACCCGGTACGATTAATATTTTATTATAAGCCCTTTGAGTTAAATGAAAACGCAGTTTCACATACTTATCAGTAACAGTAAAATTAATGTCTGCTGAATTTCAGGTTAGAAGCAAAAGCAATTGGCGTGCCTAAACCACAAGTCCGATGGATGAAACAAGGTGTCGAAATAATACAATCTCAAGAATACCAAATTGAAGAAATGGAAGATGGCACATCTATTTTAATTATACCCGAAGTTTATAAGGACGACACGGGAGAAATTAAATTTGAAGCCTACAACCCGCTCGGAGTCACATCCACTATTGCCGCTTTGTCTGTACAGAGTAAGTGGTTATTAGCAATTAAATATGCTAATACCTATACATACGTTTTTATTTTTCAGAAATGCAATAGGCAAGATAACGGAACATTATGTTATTCATTTAAGGCTGGATTGCACCAGCTTACTTTTAACAAACGTCAAAAATCTGTCAAACTCCAAACAGAAAGCACCGGTTACGGTTAAAGTTAGGTGGTGCAACTCAGCCTAAGACTTTTTATTCGAACGGTATAAATTAGAGAAGTCACAGTTCAGGCTCAGTACCGGCACAGTGCGAAATATTCTTTCATACAGTTTCTATGAACGCATCCCCACTTGTCAGTGTCAGTGACGACACAGTGCTCTCAGTGTCAGTACCGACACCGGCAATCACGGACGTATTCGTTGACGACAATATTATTTGTCGATTCACGGACGCCGCCGCGGCATCAAAAACAAAATAACTTACTTCATAGTTTCTGAACAAGAATATTGAAACAGCTCTCTGACATTTTTAAATATTCGAAATATTTCACGACGCAACACTGTAGCACTGATACTGAACTGAGCGGACACTGTGACGGAACTGTGGCTTTACTGATACGTGTGAATCGAGCTTAACGAAGTTTTTTGACATTATTTATTTTTGAGATAACGAAGGCAAGGTTAACTGTTCCAATTGGTATACCAAAAGTAACTTTTAGTTTAAATTATTATTGAGAACTATAATAACTAACCTACTCAAATGACCTTTTTTTCAGTCTTCACAGACAAAAAAACATTTCTAGCTAAAACTGTGAAGTTACCGAATAATGAAGGCCTACCCTCTGTTAACAGGATTCGTCGCTGGAATTGAACCATTTTTATTCACACGTGTAAAATGTGATACATGTGTAACCTAACCCCTTTTTCAACAGTGTCCCAATCCTTTCCTGAACTTTAAATACTTTCAAGTCATAATTTTCACTAAACACTGACAGTTTCACACTATGAACTGCTAAATATTATTTTCTAATTACGATACTTATTCAGATTTTTTTTAAATAAGTATGCTGCTACGAATGAAAGAAATTCATAATTATACAGTTTGAAAATAATAGCCGTGCTCGACAACGTGGTATTCTGTTAATTCCTGTACACACACTTCAAATATTATTTCTATTTAGTTTTAATGATAAAAAAAAAAACAAATTCATAATAGTAATGTTAAATATCTTAGGTATCATTGGCACTAAGGAATACAGGAAACCGGAATGGGTCACTCATATGGAAGAATTGCAAGCCGCTCTTAAAGGTATTATTAATAAATTATGAATGAGATGAGATTTCTTACTCGCAGTTATAATAATCATATTTTTTGCAGCAACACAATCTGTTCCAACTTTCGTCAAAGACATCTTGGGCGAACGTGTTCACGAGGATGAGACAGTTGTGTTTGAAGCTGTTTACAGCGGGAATCCCACACCAGGTACCTATGTTTTCTTTATTGGGCAAAAAATCAAGTAGGTACAAATATAATACGTCGTGTTATATAGAATGCTAATTGTTTTCCTAACAATAAAATATAAAAAAATAATAATATAGGTAGCTATGCGTCTAAAAGTGGCGTCAACATATTAATATTTTTAAACTGGTAATAAATATCCTATACAAAACAAAAATAATATAATTTATATATTTGTAGTTTTACCAATATTTCGATATTTTTTTCAGAAATATTGTGGTACAAAGATGATAAAGTGATAAGGTCTGATGAAAGATTCATCATAGAAAATAAAGACAACCGCACAAGTTGTACGATTCGAAAAGCAGTGAAAGAATTGGAAGGATCATATATGTGTAAAGCTGTCAGTGATATAGGTATGGCAATAACTAAAGCTAAACTTCAAATATTCGAAAAAGGAGAAAAGATTAAGAAACATACTGCCAAGGAAGTGAAAGAAAAATTGAAAAAAGAAAAAGTAACTCGACGGGAAGATAAGGCCGTCAAGACTGAAACTGCTCTTGAAAAAACGGAAGATTTACTGGAATCCGCTAGTATTACTGAAGTACAGCCGATAGATGAGCCTGTCTCAATTAACGAGCGCATTGACAGACGAAAGGCTAAAGTGATAGTTACTGAGGCAGAACATGTGGAGATTACGGATACTGCTTCATACAAAAAGGTGGACAAAAAGGAAAAGACAAAACCAATGCCACAAAAAATAGAGCCAATTGTAACTCCACAAGACTATTTGGTATCATCACAACAACAAAAAGAGGAGACAGCAGAACCTCTTGAGGACAGTCCTTACGAAAAACAGAAAGGTATTATTAAAATGGTTGACACTGATTCGCGAGTGGTTGCTGAAATAAATGAACTACTTGAAGTTATAAACGCTAAAGAATTTGGCTCTGGGGAGTCACCTTTGCGAGAATTAGCAAAAATTGGCTACATGCTTAGACGTGGTATAACGACAGATGAAATAGAAGGACTCTACGATTCTGAATATTTCCCAGCGTTAAGAATACCGCAATCACAGTCGGCTCTAGTTCAACTTGTAGAACGACAAGGTCATGGAGCGCTTATTACTGAAGTACTTACCGAAGAAACAACTCACGACGAAGATATTATCGCGGCAAAAGTAGGCTTCCGCGCATTCTTAAAAATGGTGGAAATGAAACATACTTCAGTCGAGGAAGTAATAGCTCACTTCTATCCTGAAGATTTCAAGCCCCGATCCTGGGAACAACGAGAGGCACATGAGGTATAATACTAAAAAAAATATATACACTACATACTTATTATAAAACAAAGTCGCTTTCCGGTCTGTCTGTCCCTATGTATGCTTAGAGCTTTAAAACTACGCAACGGCTTTGATGCGGTTTTTTTAAATAGAGTGATTCATGATGAAGATTTTTAAGTATAATACATTGTACCTGTGCGAAGCTGGGGCGGGTCGCTGGTATTTAATATGCATGAAAACATTATAAACGCGGAATCATGTTTTTTAATTTATATCTTATTTATTTATAGAAAAAGTGTGCTTCAGAAAAGTACTTAACAAACAAAATTTGGTACCTACTAAAGTAAAAACATAGATAATTTATGTTTCAAATGCTGTTTTTCTTTATTTAAATAGGTCATCGTAGAATCATCGGCCGAATATTCTGCGAAAACACACATTCCAACAGTAATAAAAGGTAATAAGAACATAAAATTAAAAGTAAAACTATATTTAGCATGTTTTTCTGATTTAACGTAAAACGAAACCACCGCTCTCATAGTTGTAAAGATTTTCCTTATTTTTATGTTCTATTAAGCTTAAACTTGTTTGTGGTTCTTTTAATAAATTAAATTAAACACAACGTGACGCGTAATTTGACGGACACAGCTCTTTGTTTATGTATAGCGAAAAAATAACTTTTTTCTCATAAAATAATATAAATCATTATCTTCACATTCATAAAATGTTTTTCTAACCCAATTAGCTCGTGCCTTTGGTTGAGCTTACATCGGAGTACACATTTATGTACCAATGTGATTATTTAAGTCTCATACCTACAACACTAGTTAGCTACCAAAAAAGTTAAGATTGATATTGTATTAAAATATATTTAATAATTACAGATGAGAAAGTTATCAGCAAGGAACAGCGAGGTAAGTCTTAATTATAGTAAGTAACATAATATTGTAAGTAATATTTAAGATAATTAAAAGGTTCGCAGCTTGTAACTCATGCTTTGAATAACAAGTTGATGCCTGTTCTTACAACTAAAATGTAACGCTTTGCGGCTGTCTTATTAATGCTACAAGTAGAGCAATAACATTTAAATCAGAGAAATAACTTAAGAATACTTACCGATTGAATAAATATCGGATAATCCAGAAAGTGAAAAAAATAAATAAATAACTAAGTTAGAAAATAATAATTTAACAGATTAATACTTGTTAAAAACTAGACACTGAAAAGCCTTTTTATTTAAACCAATATCAAATCAATAATTATTTCGTTCATATATGTGTTTATTATAAAAGAAACACAGCTTTTATTAATACTTGTAACTTAAATCTAAATTAATTGTAGGTATTATTTATGTACGCATTTATTAATTATAGAATTTTAAGTAATGCTCGGCCTATCCTTTTTCTACCTTATGCTTCTATTTTACGCAGCTTTGAATACTACATTTGGCTTCATCAGTGTGTGCTACATTATTACTTATTAATATGAAGAAAATAGCGAGAGTTGTAAGTATTGACTTTCTATACAACCACTGCACTCATAGTTTAACAATAACTAAACACTTGCAGATTATAACTCAAACGACACCTTAACAATAACAATGATCGTGGGCGCTTTTAGTTACTTATGTAGTGATAGGTTAGATTTAGACTGACAAATTGAAACAAATAAAATTTCGCCACTTTCACACTTTACTATAATTTCACAGATACCAAAGAGAATGACAAGAGTAGACGAAAATTAATATCTAAAGAGCAGGAATCCCTAGAAGTGGAGGAAGTATTGTATGAAGATAAAAAGTTCGCTGTAATGAGGTCAAAAGAAAAATTGGAACATTATGAAGAAGACAATACTGAAATTTTAGAAGATGAGCCATATTCATGCACAAAAGCATTGGCCGCAGACATTCCTGAAAGCCGAATTGAAATAGTACCGGCCAGTCAAGTAACACATCTTGTTTCTCCGAAAACCAATGATATAACAGCAAATATCAAAGTTGACAGTAATTACCCCTTAATGAATGAAACAAGAATTACACATGAAAATGAAATTCCACTTACATTAAAAGACAACACGAAGGCTTTTGGAAAACCAGTCATATCAGAGTTAGAACCGATACAAATAACACAAACCGAAGTAAGTACTTCGTTGGATGAATATGACATCGCTAAACCCAAAATGGAGATTAATGCCACTAAAGGCATTGTTCCGACTGAAGGATTAATAACTTCAGAAGTATTGACTAGCATTGAGGCTACTGATTTCAAAAAGACAGACCAGTCTTCTGAAAAAGCTAAACCAAATGTAATACCAAGAGATGCTTTACATGTTTCTGAAAATATAACATCTGACAAAGAAGATTTACTAGAAGATTTAACAGTAAAGAAACTAACAGCTACCGTTGGATATTCAACGTTGACCGGATTGAATGTTACGGAAGTAAATGAAGAAATGAAAGAACACGTTATGGAAACAACAACTAAAGATAAGATGGCAACGTCAAAACTTAATTTTACTTTATTAGAAAGTGTCGAAGTAGGTGAAGTATTTGTAGAAGACAAATCAGGTAAATATTATCCTGAACTTATAGTACCTACTGAGACGGCCAAAAAAGAATTGCTAGTTTCGAATCAATTGATTACTGAAATACATAATTTACAAGAAAAGGAAGGATCTCTAGCCACACTTAAAATACCACAAACACAGGAGGCGAACATTGATGTAACATCAACAGACAGTATAGTAGTAAAAGTTGAAGAGTTACACGAAAAAGAGGGGCAGTTACCAAAAAGTGAGATGCCAACTCAAATAACTGTAGACAAAGACGTAATGTTACATACTAGTTTATGTAATACCATAGTTACTTCTCAGTTAAAAGAAACGGAATTCACTCCTGAACCAGTAACTACTAAAAAGGCAACTATAGGTGTAACAGAACATCAACATAAGTTCAATACGGAAACAAATATACAAGATTCAGAAAATGTTTTCGAAAAACATAAATCAGCAGCCACTACTCAAGCAGAGGTATCATTATCTTTGCTAGATAATTCTATAATTGAAGAAGTACAAATTAATGAAAGTGAAAAAGAACTCTTAATTAAGGACGATGTTCCGTCTGCCAAGGCTGAAGCTGAGTTTAAATCTAGTCAGCCAATTGTTACTTCTCAAATTTTGGAGCTCACATCAACAGGGGAGTTAGGTATTATGGATAAAATGACAGATGATACTGCAACCGAGACAATAATAACAGAATGTGCCAAAATTGTGATGTCACCATTAGTGCATGATCAAGAAACTACAGAAGATTATAAGACTAAAAAACCTGAAAATATTACAACGTCTTTGGTACCTAATGTCCCAATTACAGTCTCTGAAATAGAATCAAATGAGTTAGAAAGTAAACTCAATTTAAATAAATTACCCGATAAAGTATGTGCAAAGCAATCTCCAACACACCATCTCAAAACACCCCTTTCTGAAGAAATTACAACAGCAGATCAATACGATAGTCTTAAACCGCTTGACATAATCTCAGAAAAAGCCACAGAGCAAAGAGATTTACAAAAAGAAATAAGAATTCTTCAAACCACAGTTGATGAACAACTTCAAAAATTAGATCAGAATGAGATCTTACATAGTAACGCTAATGCTACATTTATAGGTAATGAAAGTATAAAGGTAACTGAAATAATCTCAAACGTAACTGAAGAAAATCTTGAAATAGCCAACACTAAGCCAAACGTTTTTGCCAAAATGGATATAGACGCAGATCACAAGATAGCCTTAACTTCAGAAATAAATTTAGGTGATGTACTAAATCCTTTGGGGCTTATAACCCCTAAACAGGAAGCTGCTAGTTTAACATCTAGCGCACTGTCTTCACTTGAAGTAACTGAAACAAAAGTTTTAGACAGTCAGTCAGATTTATCAGCTGACACGAAACCAGAACTTAAATATCTGAAGCCGGATGTTGTCTCATTAGCAGAAACAATAAATGTTACAGAGGTTATCCAACATGAGAAGGAAACGAATTATGAACAAACAACAGCACCAGAAACTTGTATAGCGTCTGCTGATTTGGTTGGCCAACCGGTCGCTATATTGTCAGAATTAATTCCAGATTCATCTGTTGGTATAGCCAAAGAGGACAATATACTTGAGTTGACTAAAAAAGCTACAGTGGAAAATATCACTCACAAAGAAATTATAACCAGTATGACAAATTCAAACGAAAAAGAAATGATTTTAAAGAAAGCTGAAAGACCAATTTCGGCAGCTGCTATGGTTAACATCGATTCAAGCCAAGCTTTAATGATAGAAGAAAATCTATCAGAATCTCTTCCTACTCCTGTTATTCAAGAGAAAGTATTAAAAGCTACTGCTCAAGAAACTACAATAAATAAAGAAGCCATTATACAACAAGAAACTGTAGCGCACACATCAGAACAGGATTTGATTTTAAAGGAAAAAGAATGCAAGATAAATCCTAAGCTAACTTTGACAGCTTTACAAGTTCCAGAATACACAGAAAGATTGATGGTAGAACATGAAAATGAATTCACAAGTGAAACTACGCCTGATCATCAAATAGCAGAGTCATCTGTGATCTTAAAACATGGTTTTGAAACAACAGAAATAGTATCCCAATCAGAAAATCTTGAAGAAACGCAAAATACTTCGGTTCCCTACAAAAAAGCAGCACCAAAAGTAGATGAAATTTACGGAAAAACCGCTAAAGTTCAAGAAATTATTCCTAACCAATCTGCAGGGGATTTAGCAATTGAAAAAGTTGTATCTCAAGTACCTGACGTGTCACCAGTCACTTCTCTAACAGTTGAACAGACAGAGATAATTACAGCAGAAAAAGAGATGGTACTAACGAAAGAAATAACAAAAACATCAAATATTGAACCACAGTATTCTGAAAAAATAGCAATAATAACTAGTAATGTTGATGCTGTAGACCAAGAGCAGGAATTTGAGGGCAAATTTTCCATTCCTGGACGCAAAATATCTGTAGGAATAGTGCCTTTGAGCAGTACAATAAATTCAGAGGTTTTATTAAGCGGTAATACTGAAGATTTTAGTGAGCAAAATATCAAAACATCCACAGCTATTGAGGTACCTATGGACTTACAAAAACATATACACGAGACGGAAGTTTTCCTTGGAGAAAAAGAATCTGTTTTATCGAAAGTTAAAACTGATATGCAAACTGCCTCCACAAAACTTACGGAAGTTGCAGCGACGCAGATAACCGAAATAAATACAGTTGAAAAAGAAATGCTTTTGGCAGATACAGTAAAAGCTACTGAATTAGAAGCTATATCATCAATTAGTGAAAAACAACCATTACAGAATACTGAAGTTATAGCAACAATGGAAAGTGAAATTTTACAGGTGTCTCAACAAACACTGTCGAATGCACTTTTACTACAAGGTGAGCAAGAAGCTTTACAGCAGTCTGAGCCATTTGTCGGAGAGATAGAAAATAGTTTTATGGTCGAAAAAGTGACTGAAAGATTGCCAACAAAAAGTCTGAACGAACAAAGACCATTGGATATAACTGAAATAATGGTAACGGAATCAGAAAACTTGTTGGATAGCAACTTAAAAACTAAACTTGAAACGTTAAATCCTGATTTTGAAAAAAGCTTTTATGTTCAAATATCAGAAATTGCCTCTTCTGAAAGAGAAGAACACTTTGATATTAGTAAGATAAACGATGACAAAACAGTTAATCCAACGTCAAGTATAACCCCTTACTCTAGTGTAGGAGTTATTGAAAATATAATTAACGAAAAGGAAGATTTATTCAAAACAAAAAGTGAATATAAGTCTCAACAAGCCGGATTTTCAGTTGAATCACAACTTCACGTTACAGTGATTGACAATTTAATAACGGAAAAAGAAGAAGCTCTGAAACCGCTGACATTACCATCAACAAATGATAACCAAAACCAAGACATAACACTTTTAAGTCATTTAATGACATCAGAAACAGTAACGCTAGAAGATAGTACGGAAATTCATGAAAAAAAATCAAATGAAGAAAAAGCTAAAACTTCCCAAGATATAATTGAAGCTGTAAATAACGAGCAACAACAAGTTTTTGAGCAAATTCAAGATTTAATAGCATCGGGAAAACAAGAACCACTACAAGCCAATCAAAAGATAATCGATTTGAAATCTCTAGAACAAGTAGAAGTTATTCCTCAAGAAAGTTCAGATTTTCTAACAAAAGATCATAAAAAAGAAGAAAACGCTTCAACTACTCATACCTTAGTAAAGGAACTTGTTTCTGAGCAGCCACATGTAGTAGAGACTACATCTGCATTAATAACAGAGAAATATGAACCCGACAGTAACCAACCTTCATTTGATATCGAGACACGAAAAAGTTGCATCATTACTGAGAGTATACCTCAAGAAATCCCACAAGCTTTCACAACAGGCGTACAGAAATCTAATAAAATATTGGAACAGGTAATAGAAATTAGACATTTAGAACAAACTGAAGTAGTTCCAAGCGAGAACGTGGATGAATTAAAAGATGTTCAGACTATTGAAGAAAAAACCATTACAGAGGTGCCTCATGAGAATTTGGCACTGATTCAAAGTAAAACCATGGTTCATGAGAAAGAAACTGAAACACACTTTGAAAAACCTTTGACTATGGGAAAAGTTACAACTTCAGTCAATACTAACGAAGGCATATCAGTATTTGAAGTAACCCAGGGAGATACACAAGGCAACTACGTCTCAGAGCAAGGTAAAGAAACAAAAGCAGAAAAATCTATAACTTTACTTTCACATTTGCAATGTACAGAACACATACCGGAAACTCATACTAGTGAACTTTTAACACATGAAGTACAACCTAGGTTGTCAAATATAACATCTACCAGTATATCGCCTTTGATAATCACAGACAATACTATCTTCCAAAAAGAAACCGACTTACAAATTCAAACAACTAAAAAACAAACACTGCGTAAAGGTTTGACAGTTGCAAACGAAATAGAAGTCACTACCGAATTCATCGATGAGCAAATATCACCCATGCCAGAAAAATCTCAAGAAAACATACCAGTTCGTAAAATTACTCAATCTGAAGATCGCGAAGATGTCGTCATTTCGGAACAAGAAGTATACACTAAGGGTAAGTAATGTAATGTATTTATAAATTAGATTATTAGAAATCTAAGGGTCTTCTCAGCGTTACTGCTCAGGATAAATATCATCATTGATGAACTATTTATACAAACACATTTATAAGTTATGGGACCGTTTTGACGTTATTTTGTATGGTGTGGTTTTAACAGGACTATTTTAACACGGTTGCAAGTTACACATAACCAGGAAAAACAAATTAGGGTGAAGTAAACGGCACTCGGATATTTATTTTTGGAAAGCTTAAAAAAATGATAACAAACTGAGCAGCCGTATACTCCATCTTAAAGTCTATCATCCTACTTGACACACAGAACAGTCAAAGCATTTTAAAATTAATATTTATTTGACACTATGAAGATTTTTACACTAAATCGGTAGACAAATACAAAAAACTAGCAGAAAGGTGAGATAAGTATGAATTATGCTTTATAATTATATGGTACCTAAATTAATAATATTTAGTATTTAAAAAAGTTAGTTACCAAGACAATTTTCGATGACAAAGTAATCCTAAGTACAAAACTGTAACTGAGTAGTAACAACAATTACATCAAAAATACAGGACGAAAGACAGACCTCGTTACAAAAAATATAAAATAAATAAAAAACTGTACATTAATAAAGAAGTTGCATTCTAAAAGCCACATCGTAAAATATCGTAATCTTCATTATAATGACAAAAATATAATTATTATCAAAAGCAATTTTTTATTGTAAAAAAAAACAATAAATTATTTTCTCTATAGATTACACAATACACAGTTGTCACTCGGTGATACACAAATATCAAATTACACATGCAACAAGGATAGTCAAAAACTTATTTTTAAAACACAATTATAAACTAAATCAATGCACAAACACATTAAAATTGGAACTCGAACTTTTACAGAGATATCAGACGACATCACGTCCCCAAAGTCATCAGACTTTGAAGAAACTGAAGAAATTGTAACCAAATTTACACAATCGCCAGACGGCCGAGAACCAATACAAACCAAAACAAAAAGAACTATATTACGAAAAAAGAAAAGAAGCAAGGACCACGATATGAATGAAAGAAATGTCGTTATCGAGGAAACCCTAGATGATTTCGCAAATGAAACCCCGAAACAGGATTTCCATAGCAACATTGATATAGAGGAGTATATAGGAGATGAAGTACTCCCAGTCGATGATACTGAAAAAAGTACTGTTGAAATGCCTGAAGATCATTTACATATACCGAAACTACCCAACCAAGTTCACATCGAGGAAATGATAGACGAAGAAATTGTTGAACTTCCAGATGATACCACAGTCGAGGAGACCGAAACGCCGGAAGGTAAGAAAACATATATGAAAACTAAACGCATCCTGAAACATAAGAAACAGCCAAAAATACAGACTAAAGAGATCACCACTGAACAAGAAGACGACAAGACACCAGTAGTGTCGGTACACACCACCGAACAAACCACTGACGAATCACTCATTCCATTCGAAACACCACAAATCTTAGACAAGGCCGAAGTTATCGAAGAAGAGCCTGACAAAGTGCAAGTTACTCAAGTGCGCACGGAGACGGGCGAGGTGAAGTCAGTCAAGGTAACCAAACGCGTCATCAAAAAGAAGAAGGGCAAACAGCAGGAAGTCACAGAAATAACCACGACGCAACAGGACGACGAGGCTCCCGTCACAACGGTCAGCGTCACCGCGGAAGAAATCCCTGAAGAACAGATTGCACCCGTGGAGATAGCGGAACTGCCCGAAGAAACGGCCATCGAAGAAATAGAAACACCCGAGGGTAAAACTATTCGCAAGAAGACGATAAAGCGCGTCGTCAGGAAAAAAGGACCCAAGCAAGAAACTGTCGAAATCACCACCACACAGGACGATGACAAGGCTCCCGTCACCGAAATCAACTTCGTGGAAGAAAAGCCGGCAGAAGAAGAAAAGCCACTCGAAATTGTGGAACTGCCAGAAGAGACCGCAGTCGAGGAGACCGAAACGCCGGAAGGTAAGAAAACACACAAGAAAATCACTAGACGCATCATCAAAAAGAAAGTAGGGCCCAAAATACAGACTACAGAGATCACCACTGAACAAGAAGACGACAAGACACCAGTAGTGTCGGTACACACCACCGAACAAACCACTGACGAATCACTCATTCCATTCGAAACACCACAAATCTTAGACAAGGCCGAAGTTATCGAAGAAGAGCCTGACAAAGTGCAAGTTACTCAAGTGCGCACGGAGACGGGCGAGGTGAAGTCAGTCAAGGTAACCAAACGCGTCATCAAAAAGAAGAAGGGCAAACAGCAGGAAGTCACAGAAATAACCACGACGCAACAGGACGACGAGGCTCCCGTCACAACGGTCAGCGTCACCGCGGAAGAAATCCCTGAAGAACAGATTGCACCCGTGGAGATAGCGGAACTGCCCGAAGAAACGGCCATCGAAGAAATAGAAACACCCGAGGGTAAAACTATTCGCAAGAAGACGATAAAGCGCGTCGTCAGGAAAAAAGGACCCAAGCAAGAAACTGTCGAAATCACCACCACACAGGACGATGACAAGGCTCCCGTCACCGAAATCAACTTCGTGGAAGAAAAGCCGGCAGAAGAAGAAAAGCCACTCGAAATTGTGGAACTGCCAGAAGAGACCGCAGTCGAGGAGACCGAAACGCCGGAAGGTAAGAAAACACACAAGAAAATCACTAGACGCATCATCAAAAAGAAAG